ATTGATACAAAGCAAGGGTATAAAATAAGGGACTGAAGACATTCAATTCGAGTTTTTATTAGTAAAATTTCAATGTCAATCAGCCAAAATTTCTGGCAAAACGACCTGCCCCTTAATTTTTAGGATTTGCACACTGACTGTTATACGTGAGTCATATGAACAAAGTATGACCATGCCGATCATAGTATAGTAGGCTAGACTGGCCCTTATCCTTAATAAAGAGACGTGCAGTAAATAATACTATCAAGTATATCCCTCATCACTATTATAAAAACCATTTATCTGACCTTCAAGAAATACTCAAAAATCCAAACCTACGATCAGTTTGGGTTGCCACAAATAGTGAAAATAATGATGCAGCCTTTTGGTCTAAGGTATCTCAACTTGGTTTAAGTGGAGCATTTGATAGGGAACATACTTTTGTTGAACTTATAAATTTAATGGTAAAAATAAATGAAAAAAAATCACAAAATAAAAAATTAAATGGATTATGATACTCTCAACATTTAGTTCATTTTTTCAGTTTATTATCAGAAAGTTCCAGAGAATATGAAATTTTTAAAAAAGCATTTTCTGGTCTTTCAATACAAAGAATAAGGTAGATTTCTTATTTTCTTATTAAATTGAATAAATAAATTGATTGATTGATTAATTGACTGATTTATAATTAATCTTAATAGACAAATTCGCAAAACAGATTCTAGTGCAGTTACCAACCCTGATTTGATATTAGACAATTTTATGAAGTTTGCAGAACTTGTCAAAAAACTTGTATATTCTGAGGATCTTAACTATATAACTGGATCAACCTTGCCACATGATGAAACAACAATTTCTTCAATTGATGATATACATCCAAAAATAAATTATATTTTACAAAATGATGCAGTTGCTACACAAGTTCGTGCTATTGCATTAAAGGTTAGTAATTTTAGATTTAAAATCAATTATTCAATAAATTAAAAAAATGCAATTGTTTTTGTATTTTAGGTTCCTATTGGTAAAATTCCACCAATGATAGTAGCAATGTTGCCAACAAAAGGTGATGAATCTGCTGATCAAATTTCAAATTTGTTACGTGAATTGAATTAGCAAATGTTGCAAATTTAAATATATTAAGTTTTGGATCAGATGGAGCTAAATCTGAATTCAATGCACAATTAATCATTATGAATGAAGCATCTGGTTTTCTTGAATATAAAGATGCTTTCTATAATATAAATTTCAAAGCTCCAATTTATGAAGGTAAACCATTTATTAGAGTCCAAGACCCCAAACATGCCAAAAAAACTGCAAGACTTTTATCACTCGGAATAAGCACAATGCATTATGATCAGCTTTTTGAATTGGCACATTGATCACAACATTTCCTTTTAAAACGTGATGTTTTGAATGTAGACAAACAAGATGATAATGCAGCCTTACGCACCTTTCATTCAAATAATTTAATGCAAATTCCAGTTAATGGCAACTTAACTGAAGAATCTATTGGACTTTTTGTATATCTTTTTGTGTTAGGTAATTACTTTTATATATATATTGTCACTTAAAAGTTTTATGTACTTACATATATTAGTATATATTTATTTTAGGTGAATTATGTGATGCCTATCTAAATAGAACTATTGATCACAAAACACGTATTGAAATGGTATTGCGTGCTTATTTTTTTCTAAATACATGGAAGAATTATGTTGAATGTTGTAGCATTCATTATTCAAAGAAATGGTATAGTTTACAGAAAAGCTTTATCTCAATCCAAAGTTATGATATTTTTATTAGCATGGCAGAGTCTTTAATTATGCTTATTATTGCACATCATGAATATTACTCTCTGTTTCCCTTGTTTCCATGGGAACATGGAACTGAGGGATTGGAACATATTTTTGGAATTTCTAGAAGAATACTTCCCTGATTTTAATTTTAATGAGTTTTTTAAAATACAACAAAGGGTTTCATATCGTGATAAAATTGCTTGAGCAGGAATAATAGATACCAGTAGAGATTGTAATTCGGCAGCAGGTAAATAATGATTTATTTTCTATTTTTATAAAAAAATATTATTCACTCTTTATTTTATTAACTCCATTTTCTTAGGCTATGTTTTTGACATAGATGGCACTTCATTACCTCATGAAACAATTGAAATACTTCGCACTTGGCCTACCACTGATGATATCAAAGAATCTACTGTAATTGCATTTAATGAAGCCATGTCCTTAGCAAACTACCTTCATATAAAGCATAATGAATACACAATCCCACCAATTATTACATCCACAGAAAATATGAATAATGCTTTTTCAGAAGATAATGGAGATCAATATTGTGAAATAAATGGTAATTTATTATATTCCAATATTAATTATTTATTATATTCAAAATTTTAATCTTTTATAATATTTTATTATGTAGACTCTTCCAATGAATTAAATTTAGAATCTATATCACTAACTGGTAATGCAGCTTTGGAAGTAGCTTGCTTATTATCAAGTGCAAATAACAATCAATTGCATGAAGATGAAGTTTTGGAAGATGAATATGAAGATGAATTACAACCATTACCATCTGGAGACTTCCCTGATATTCAATACATTCAGAATTCTCAAGTTGTTCCTGTTGCATTTCAACCATTTCAATTATTCATTGCAAATAATGTTTTAGATATTACAGCTATTTTAGAAATTCGTAAAAGTCATGATGCATTTTCTCATAATCTTCAATCTAATTTTACTAATTCACAACAAATAATAAATACAAATAATAGTGCTACAAATGGGAACACTTTTAATAGAATTATTACAGAAATAGCAGCAAACAATGTTAATGAAGTTCAAAGAAGACAACGTCGGGATTGATGGGAAGGTAGAAGGCGTTTAGAAACAATATCTAATAATTTACCAGGTAATAGAAATCAGTGTTTTTTAACTTATGAGTAATAATAAAATTGATTAAAATTTTTGTTTTGTTAGTAACAAACATTGGGTTTGCAAATATTTTTGATATCCATCCACTTTGCAAGAATGGATTTTTATTTGTGTATTCCAATAAAATCTTGTGTTTGGGTAAAGTAATCACATTTTATGAGAAATGTGGGCAACGACATGCATGGGTAGAAAAGCCAGCAGGATTTTTAGATCATTTATCATATATTTCTATTAAAGTTTATCTTCCAGTAT